TACGCTTGCACGAGAAAGAAGCGGCGGTGCGTAAGTTTATAAAAATAAGGCCAGTTCCTTAAGCTCTTCGCGAAAAAGGCTCCGAGGAGATAGATTGGTTAATAAAGTCGCGAGTGCTTTCACCTGCCAGTCATTCTGAGTGGGCAGCCCCGATTTTGACTGGGCAACCTCGACGGCGAACGTATCATGCAATACCGAATATAGCGGTTATGTTCGCTTTGCTGCGAGGCGGCTCAGTATTCCGCACATCAGATCTCCGAGACGCCTACACCCAGGTGGAACAAGGCGAAAAATCTAGGAAACTAACGGTTATCAACACGCACCGAGGGCTTTTTTTTTTTTTTTTGTTTTAATCGTCTGCCGTTTGGAATTGCCTCGGCGCCGGTGATTTTTCAAAGGAAGATGAAAAGCATATTGGCAGGACTAGAGGGAGTACAGGTGTACTTAGACAATGTTCTAGTGGCAGAGCAACAAGGAACCGACAATTTAAGGCGTGTGCTGCAGCGTTTCCGGGACATGGGTGTCAAGCCTCGGTGTTCGAAATGTCAGTTCAGGAAACCAGACATCACTTAGTTGGGCCATAGGATTGACAAAGAAGGCCTACACCCGATGGAGAAGACATTGTAAGCCATCAGAGAGGCACCAAAACCCACAAATGCAACCGAGGTGCGCTCTTTCTTGGGGCTGCTGACATATTACCCCCGGTTTCTTCTCCGCGGGAAGAGGGAGCCGCGAAACAGGCAAAAGCGGTCTTGCTGACGTTGTCGGTCCCAACATTTTTCGACCCTAACATGCCTCTCAGATTAGAATCTGACGCGTCAACGACCGGAGTGTGAGCCGTGCTGTCGCACAAAGCTCAAGGTATCGATGAGCCGATAACGTTTCGATCCCTAACGCTCACGCCAACGGAAAAAAATTATTCACAACTGGAAAAGGAGGTCCAGGCTTTAGTATTAGGCGTCACCTAATTCCGGGAAATCTACTAAACCGCAGATTTATCTTAGTCACGGGTCATTAGCCATTGGTGGGCCTGCTACAAGAAGACCGGCCAATTCCGCTGCTGGTATCCGGGAGGATTCAACGGTGGGCCTTGCTGCTGAGCGATTGGATATAGAGTATTGAATTTCGACCAGGGAAAGAAAACGCGAACGCCGATGCATTGGGTCGCCTGCAATGCCCCAGCATGGGCCACTTGGGGAAGAGCTTCCAGAATACGTGTTAGCGATGACCCAGGTAGACGACACCTTTATTTCCGCACAGCGTTTGAAAGATCTGACAAGAACGGACGTCACGTTGTTACAAACCATGATGTATGTCCAAAACGGCTGACCCGATTTGTTGCCAGAAAGTTGGTCGTTCTTGCAACCGCACATTTACAGGAAGCTCGAGTTGTCTGTGTATTAGGTGTTACTCTGCCGGGGCCGGCGCCTCGTGATCGCAACCCAGGGGCGCCAGGAGATGCTCATGCTGCTACACGAATCACACCAGGGGATCGCTGCCATGAAGAGGAAGGATCGGCCATCGTTCTGGTGGCCCGGACTTGACGGTGAAGTGAAACTACTGAGCAGAAGCTGTCAAGAGTGCTTAAAAGCCGCCTCAATACCCTCCAAGTGCTCAGCAGTGAAATGGCCAGAAACGAAAGAAAGATGGCCGATACCGCATATTGATTTGGCGGGGCCCATTCATGAAAAAATGTTGTTAATTGTTATTGACTCACACTCGAAGTGGATGGAAGTTTCTATTATGCGAAACACTACTGCCGAAGCCACAGTAAACCAACTTCGAGAGATATCTAGCAGATTTGAACTCCCAAAAACGGTTGTTAGAGACAATTGGTCCTGGTTTATAAGCCAACATTTTGAAAATTTTATGAACAGTAACAATGTATGCCATCTCCGCTGTGCACCATACCAACCCCAACAACGTGTTGGCGGAACGCGCCGTTAGAACGATTAATCACGGCCTCGCAAGGATGAAAAAGGTAGATTTAGAAAAGAATCTGGCCTTCCAACCCAGAACCCGGGGGACCACAAGTGGACCAGGAGCCGGCAATGCAGCCAGATGTTTCAGACGCCGGCGTTCAAGAACCGCCGCCATTACGGCAGTCTACGTGGACCCGTAACACTATCCAACGGTTGCAATATTAAGAGAAGAAATGTTTCTGCATCATCATTCCGGTGGAATCTGTCAAAGTTACTTGTCCAGATGTTACTTGTTGTTATTAAGCGATAACACCCTTTTGTTGTGACGACCCCAAGTGCGGGTTATATCTTTGGGGCTCGTGGAAATAAACTTTTGTTATGCACTGGACAGCGACCAGAGTGGTGGTTCCCAGAGCGGAGCGCAGACCGCCTGCACGACGTACGAAAACGTAACAATGGTGATAACGCTTTCGGGTTTCGATTTTACTTTTAAAGAAGTTGAGTAGTCGTTTTCAACTCGTTGCCTTCGTTTGTGTCTTCCGTTACTTTATTTCGATGGTATCAAAAAAAAAAAATCAAGTAATGAGGACGCAGCTTTTTGGCAAAGTGTTTGTAGCAGTGCTTCGTTCTTGCACGAGCAAACCCCGAGTGCCCCAGAGCTTCAAACTTCAGACTCGACTTCATCACACAATAACCAGAACTTCTCGGTGTGGTAAGAGTTATGTACTGTTCTTACTACCAGCAACCATGCCGTGTGTCCTTAAATTATGTGGTTTTCGACCGCGAATTTTGCTTTAAAATTGTCCACTGCAATTGTGTATAGTTTACGGATCCGTCAATTGCCAGAGCAGTTTTACTTGGTAGCTTTTTCCAGTATTTACACTTGTCATTTTCAAGCAGTAGCTCGTTTTTTGTTGATTGCAGTGTCAATCTAGTCCCACAAGCCTTGTAGGGACTGAATATTTCCGATAACTTGTTGGATTTAAAATTTTAAAAGTTTGACTGAGAGGAAGAGGTTTAAAATGAGCGTATTGCACGGAGGTATCCGATATCCTGAGAGTTGTAGTTCATTGGTCATCTCCGTCCAGTTTCCTCAAGACTTTTCTTTTGTTGTTCTCATACTATCAGCATAGCATTTTGAGCTGGCCATTTTTTCTTCTTTATGTGTAATCACGGACGTCTCTTTCAATCTGGCTCTGTGTACTGCTATTGGAATTTTTTTTTATTCTTGGGATGTTGAAAATTATTTCTAGCTCACATATGGGGACTGATTTAATTGCTAGAAGAGCGGTGACTTCGGTAACGATTCTGGTTGTGGAATAGATTCATTGAATACGAGCGCTATGTTAGCGTTCGGTTGGGTCTCATGTCCAATCAATGTGTCCAAAAACGCTCGGCATCGGTTTGGGGTCAATTTACGAGTAAGCGCCTTTTGATTGACCCTTTTGATTGTGATGACGTTTCACGGAGAAAGAGGATGGTGTTTTTAGGCATTGAATATTTTAGGTGGTATTGATTAAGTCCATCACTGAGTAAATATCTCGTCCGTCGCTCACAACAATGGTAACTGTTAAAATTATTTATACCCCACAGCAGTGTGCATGAATATTTAAAGTGCTTTGAGGTGTGGTGGTCGAGGTAAAGTTGCCCTTCCTGAAAATATTCTAGAATATAAGAGAGAACAAATTAACTTGATTTACATAGAGAAAAACCCGGTCATGGTCTCCTAGAGGTGTTTGAATAGTGTCAGGTTCTCGCACTCTTTTTGGAACTTGCGCCGAGACGGTTCTAGCGTGATCAGCGAGGGCCTCAATAGTCACGTAATTCCTGGGGATAGAGCAAACCACTCCTTCCAGTTGGTGATGTCAGGGGAAGAAGGAAAGTTGAGGGTACAGGGGGCACGCTCAGTATGCGTGGTGCTTCAAGGAGTAGATGCTATAGTTCTGTCAATTGGGACGGTTGTGGCGCCGGTAAATTTTTTGGAGGATGTGCTGCGATGGCAGTGAAAATGTCTATACCTGTCTGATGAGTGGTACATCGGCTCGGCGGAGGTCGGCGCGTTGTGCGAGTAGTAGCGTGCGGCGGCATTTTGGTCGATAACTCTCCGTGTATTAGGAGAGTATTGGTTAGACCAGCGAAAGGGACGGGGGGGGGGGGGGGGAGGTACAGGAACTGTAGCTTAACTAAGCCCGTTTGCTCTTGCTCTACCCTGCATTGAGACGTGGCCTGGTGCACACTAAACGCAAATGATGGTGAGGGTAGGGTTGCAATATGAAAGTGAGGAAGGTGCGTGTATAAAAGTTGACTTGATTGGGTACGTAGCTGCGATGGGCATGTTAAGAGTCTAAGATTGTTAATGTTGGGGTCTGGGTGTGCGTTTAGAATCAGACATCCCCTATCTCTAGGGAAATTACTTGCTCCTCTAAGGCTGCGATGGCTGGTGGGTTATTATACTCTGCTACGTGTTTGCGTAATTGAGGGGGGAGGGGGATATGCTATTCTCCCTGTGTTGGTATTGGACTTAAGATTCGCATATATAAAATAAATTCCTCTTCCTTCTCGTTTTAAGGTTTGTAAACTTTTTGTAAGACTTCGCGCTCGAAATTTCTTCCGCTTTTTTGTTTCTGTCTGGGTCCATGTTCCGCGGTAGTAGCTTTGCCAGGATGTTGGGCAGGGCGTACAGTGGGGTGGCTCTGGTGGTTGTCTCTAGTGTTGAAGGATCGTAGTATATGAGGGATCAACTCCACCACCCTTGTTTCAATGTCTTGACGCATTGTGGTGCTATGAGTTGGTATAGAGTGTGGCATGACACCATGCCGATGACGTGCTGTGTCGAGGCGTATTGTAGGACCCCCAGTGCGAGGCGGATTCAGAAACCTGAGTATTCATCACTGCCCCGGTCTCTTCCCCCAGCCCGCTTCTTCCTCTTTACAGCGTGGCGGGCAATTTACGAAACACCCCATTAAGAAACACTACGATTATAATAATTTAATTAAAAAGCCATCACCAGGTGTACAACATATAACAAAATACCTTATATTTTTATACTACCCAACGTATATCAGTGTGTATTCTCACCTCTTTGTTGACAGGCGTCTGTACGACATACATTTTTTCCGTTAACACCTAGTGAAATAAAAACGTAATAAACACTTAGATGAGACGAAACATTTATCTAATAGTTAGAAGAAAATATGCAAATTGTTACCACGGCAACCGATAAATTTATTTTAAAGTAAACTTAAAACAACGATTTCTTTGGTATAAAGGTAAGGACCGCAGCAGGCGGAAGTAAAATTATGGGTAACGTTCATGAATTAATGACTAGACGCTCCTTACTACCTTTTGCCATAATCTCCTTAGCTGGCGAATTCTAAGTACATATCGTTGAATATCTGTTGACTGTCTTCGTCCTTTTTGATGCTGTCCATTTATAATTGTGGCAATAATTCTCATAAGAATGTGAGGCTGTCCGCCGTCAGCCATACGGAAACTAAGTAAAGGCTGCCTAAATCTGCCCTCCTGAGCATATATCAAATTGTGGCGCCCAGCACCATGACCTATAAGACCACGTGATTTCAGATTATGCAACGTTCTCAGATTGGTTCGCGAAGATTTGCTCCCCGTAACGGAGTCTTATCCTACGTAACAGATATGCTTGGAACAGAATAGAGCTCACTGAATTGTAACAGCAATGACAAAATTTGTCAACAGGCAAAAATTAACTTACTAAAATGTGCCGGCTAATGCAAACATTTCTGTATATAATTAGTGTAAAACCCGTAATATTCGCGAGCTCTTAATTTTAGCAAATTTCGCGCATTAAAAAATTTGCGAAATTTAAGTGCACGTGAAAATTTCGGTCCTAAAGAGTTTGGATGCAAGCGTCTGAAATTCGCGAAATTTAGTTGCCGCGATTATGTCCTCTGTGACCAATTCGCGAAAAAAAAAGGTGCCACGAAAATAAAGCGTTTTACAGTAGTTAATTTCTGGCATTAATTTGGTAATTGTCGTTTAACGCTCGTAGTCTTAGATCTGCCACGACCGATGGCGTTATCTAGAAGAAATAACTTGTTTATTTAATGTCTTCATTTTATAGTATCCTAACTTTCTGGTGAAACACCCTAAGCCGTATTTGCCAGACATTACTCGAGTATTATTAACCTTCGACTTTCGACTTCACCTCTTAAAATGATCACGTGATAGGTCGTGGTAATCAGAGCTAACTAAGCACTTGGTATTCACCGACCATGTTTAGGGCTTAGTAACCATGAGCGACTGAGAAGGCGACTGATAAATCTTAGACAAAGGGTACGGCTGTTTAACGACGAGTGGCTAGGGGCACAGCGCCATGGACGATTTATATCACAGCTGACCGCCAACGCTAGCAAAGCAATTACAGTCTTGGAACGCTGTTGGACACATCTTAAACGAATCGGAGCAGCAAATATTGTGTTAATGGGCATGTTCAGAGATCAGAGATGCCGCTAAAACGATATCAGCCGGGCGCTGTCCGACGAGAGAGTTCCCATTTATGTGCACTTCCATATTTGCTAAAATCGCTGTCAATGCAACCTCTGTCTACTTCCTTGCGTTTTTTTTAAATTTTCTTTGAAGAACTTTTTTTTTGTCTGGGCAGTCCGAATCTCATTATGACGTGTTATATTTGCTAAGAGATATTTAAGTATTAGTTCTGACATTTAAAAAAAATCCCCATTAAGGTAAACATTTTAGTGAAAAACCCAAGACTGAGGTAAAACAGACGACGACAAGGAAGAAAGGAGAACGTCTCAAACACAGCTAAACCTTTTTTGAGAAAAAAAAGCACCCTTTATATAGGGTTGAAAAAAAGAAGGAAGGAAAGGGAACCTATCTTCACATCACCTCTCTCCCCAAAAGGTACGACATCAACTCTCTTCACCAAAGACACGATGGGGTCAAACCAACAAAAGAACTGACGGCACCAAAGATGACACATAAAAAAAAAAAAAAAAAAACGCTGGGAAATTAACAGATTGCACTAAACCTTTCACGGAGCGTTTTTTTTTTTTTTTGAAGTGTCATCTTTGGTGCTGTCAGTTCTTTTGTTGGTTTGACCCCATTGTTACAGGTCTGGTGTCGTGTCTTTGGTGGAGAGTGTTGATGTCGTACCTTTTGTGGAGAGAGGTGATAGAAAGAACGGTTCTCTTTCCTTCCTTCTTTTTTCAACCCTATATAAAGGATGCTTTCCTCAATAAAGGTTTAGCAGTGTCTGAGACGTTCTCCTTCTCTTCCTTGTCGTCGTCTGCTTTACCTCAGTCTCGGGTTTTTCACTAAAATGCTTAATACACACCAGCTCACTTCCGCCCTTACGTTCTGCCCATTAAGGTAGTTGCGTTTAAGTACGAAGCATCCGGGTCCTATCTTTCTATGCCTCTTACGCTTGTTACTCGTGAGAAGATAGTCAGCGGCTTACTTCGCGCTTGTAAATACTGCAGGGTCTACTCGCTCTTTATTCGCCAACTTTTTTGCTTGGCTCGCAAATTCTAATCGACGCAATACTGACTTTAAAAGAGCGCTAGTTAATAACGACCGGTGATTATGGCTGCTTTTGCCTATTTAAACACTTTGTCGAAGTATTATATAACGCGTTAATAAAAAATTATGCATCGTAAATATTTATACTCACCACCTGATGGTTTTGCTTCGCTGAGTCCAGCTAATTCAACAATCATGTATAATGCCCAGATTGCAATCAGCTGTTGAGCATGAGGAATCATGAACTGATGCTTCGATGACCACATTTCACGTCTGCGCATAGTTTCTGAAGATTAAAGAAAAAGTTTGCTCGTTGCAGAAAGAGCCGTCTTCGTGAAGAGAACCTTTTAAAGGATTTGGTTTAACGGATTGCATGTGTATATTGTTCGTATTTCAGGAAGTTCGCTTGTTCACCACTACATTGCTGCGTGCCTCGCAAGGTTGGCACTGCACGCGGCTGCCAACCCAGCTCTTCAGTGCCAGGGTATTGAATTCAATGTTACTAGAGCACTTAATTGGGAAACTCATCTTTGAAACCTGGACTGCTGGCGTCCACCGAGACCGAGCTAAATACGATAAGAGCGCCACCATTCAGCGACGAGTTGAAAATTCCACTCGTCGCTGAATGGTGGCGCTCTTATGAAAGCTGCATTATATGGCTTCTCTTACAGTCACTGAATGCTTCCAGAGTACCGAAACTCCAAGGCTCAAGGTGCCATGATGGCGGTTCGATATTTTACTAAATACTCCGAGACTGGAATGAGAAGGGACGGAAAAACACAATGTCTCAAGCACAGCTAATATTTATTCGACAACGAAAGGGCTTATATAGGCATCATGTTTGCGACGTGGGATTCCCCATTTCTCCCTCTCTCTTTCTTTATCTTTCTTTCTCTCTCTCGTGTCTAGTGTTTTGTGTAGGATTTGATTCCTATATGAGCCCTTTCGTTGTCGAATAAATTTAAGTTGTGCTTGAGACTTTGTGTCTGTCCGTCCCTTCTCGTTCCAGTCTGGGAATTTTTAGCGAAATGTTTAATCACCACCAGCTCGTTTGCGCCCTAACCCTTTGTTCACTGGTTCAATTATTTTCTTTTTTCTTTATTGTGGTCACAACGAGCTTTTCGAAAGCATGTTTTTGCAAAACAACACGCGGAAAAAGCTATTTTTGTGAGAGATTTCACGGGAAATTAATACAAAATTACAGGAGAGTTATGTTTTCATAAATATTAAGTGGACAGGGTTTTGCGGCACAATTAATATTGCTTTCATACAACTATGTTTCACCAATGACTTCAGGCAGCGTGCCCCAACCTGGGTGCGTCTGAACTTCGGTGATTAATTGCGGTGAGTCCGAGTGGAAGACGGGGGTTGGCAGCTGCGTCTCCGATACTTTTCGCGGGTCAGGTGTTCCCTAGTTCGTCGCCCGTTTCTTCAACGTAGTGAGAGGCGCGTCGTCATGGCTTCAGCGTCCACCCTAGCTGTTAAGACCCTCTTAACTATCCTATGTGACGCAGAGAACCCGTCCAGTCTGATGGCGTTTTATTTTCTCAGGACATTGTATAGTTAGTTACCTGGAAACCTCGCAACCGCCCCTTATTTGCGCCAGCGTGACAACGATTCCCCTTTTTATAGCTGCTATTAAGACTTTCCGGCAGCTCCGCGCTCATGTATCAAAAGAATACATTGTTGAGGATCCGGTGTCTCGTCTTGTTGAGATTCTCTACTCATCCCAGTTTCCGGCGCCAGTGCCGGGACGCGGGTCATCGTACATAGAACTACCGCTACCCCCACAGTAGCCTGCCTGGACAAGTGTGTGACTTCCAGTAGAAGCAAGGTCGGGGATTCGGTCAACGGTGTTAAGTGTTCTAACTGCAGCACAGTGGAGACAAACGTCCACGTAATGGCGCAGTGCAGTAGCTGACGGTGCTCAACGTCCCGGTGCAACTGACTTGCCTGTCCTTGGACATGGTGTAATACGGGCACTCTTTGGTCCTGCCTCGCCGGCTGCGGCGGCCCATGTGGTGACAGAGTCGTGTAAACTTTGTTTGGTGCTGAACATGCATCACCTATGACCTTAGTTCATTGTGAGAACGCGCACTGGTGCGCATATAACTTTTTCTTGCACTGAAATTCCTTCCACAGTATACGTGTTGGCGCCAAAAAAGATCAAAGCCACAATATAAGAGTTACAGCGGACGCTGTCGAATGCGATATTCTGGTTACTGCAAGATGGCGCCATCTGCCCTTGCGCGACCCGACCTGAACGAATACGTGATGCCGGGAAGTTCATGGAGTGGTATCTGCAGGAGAAATGGCGGCGTTGCGATCGCGTTTAGTTCGGATCTCGAGTGCTGGACGGAGCCATTTTTTTTTTATATTCAGGCTTCTACGGCAGTTTCCCAACTGTGTATTCTAGTAATGTTGATTGAATTGCAAAGAATGCTACGTATTTTCGCAACCTTATTTTGGACCTGCGTTTGAAAATACCATGACCAGAGTTGTAAACCTTACAAAAAATGTAACTAAATACGTTACTCGTTACTTGCAAATAAAAGTAATGCGTTACCGTCTCACGTTTCTTCGTAATAAAAGAAACGCTTTATCGTTACCATTAGCGATGAAAAGTAACGCACGTTATTTTGCTTAATTTTTTTTTTTTAATTATGGATTAACAGGTTTGACTGTTTTGGCGGTGCAGGTATCCGTAACGCCATATTTTAAGAAACATTACTTCCATGTACAAACTGAATATATTTACTTTATACTTATATGGTTTTATCTAAATACCCACAAGAAAAAAAAAACACTAACGAAGACGCAAAAAACTCAGAAATTCACTTGACTTGGGGCCTAGAAACTCGAAACAAATATAGGTGTAAATCGTTTCAATCTTGGGAAGAAAACGAAATGGGTAACTTAACTTCGTTACCCGTTACTCGAAATAAGTTAAGTACGTTACCCGCTACTGTTTTGAAAAAAAAAAGTACCAAGTACGTTACAAGTTACGAGAAGAAAGAAACGCGTTACTGTCAACACTGACCACTACGCGCTAAACATTTTGTTAGTCCTCACAAAGGGGGTTTGGGCTTAATGTTAATATTGAGCGGAAACGGAGTTATTCCATGATATTTTTTAAGAAAAAAAAAAGACCAGATGTCGACTCTGGCATTTAAAAAATTTCTTGCCATTGTTTGAAGGAAAAAACAGCAAAGATCTTGTACTTCCGCATTCCAAGAAAACGAACAAACCTTTTTAAAGGGCAACTACGATATATTTCACATTGTAAGAAATAATGCTCTTTATCTTTAGTGACAAGGACAAGAAGTAAAGGGTCAATATTTTGATGTAATATTTCTCCCAAAGGTCTATGAAAGAGGCCAACAATGTTTGAGATGTACCATTCACTAAAACCTGCTAATCCGAGCGGAGGAGGTGCGGCTAGACAACAGTGCCGGGTTGGCGCCGCCAACACTTCGATCGCTGACTTCCTTATATGCATTGCATATGTTAGCCAGTTTCTGTAGTCATCTAGGCAAGGCCAACAAGCGGCGCTAACCGCGCACTCATTTCTGTCCACGCGATTGGCGAAACATGCATGTGGTCAAGCATGCGCCTGTGTGGTGCGCGCATGGTCGCTTCGTCGCGAACTAGTGTATCCATCGCTGCCTTAGCTCTAGATTAGGCCACAGAGCTATCTCACACTATATATATATATATATATATATATATATATATATATATATATATATACAACTGAGAAGAAAAAACCCTTGGTGAAAACAGCAACAACCAATGATTTATTCTTCGACGTTTCGGCCGGAGTCCGGCCTTCGTCAGGAAGGCCGGACTCCCGCTGAAACGTCGAAGAATAAATCGTCCGTTGTTGCTGTTTCCACCAAGGTTTTTTTCTTCTCATTTATATACCCACGCCTTTGGCCTCCCGCCATTATGCCCGTTGTATATATATATATATATATACATATAACTAAATCTTATAGCAAAGAAAGAAAGAGAAACACAAACGAAGGTAGTGGAGAAATAAATGAAGGTTGTAGAGAGCAAATTCAACATCTTTCTAAAAGTGCGACACACAAAAAAGGACAACACTTGTAGAAAACGCAGCCCCATGTTATTGTTTTCTACGAAAGTTTTCCTTGTGTATTTTGTAATCATGTTCATCACGTGCCAAAGCACGTGTGTATATTTTCTTTTTCTTTTGATCGTGTGGTTTTTCGCTTTGGCACGTGGCGTTCGATCCTCGTTTTTGTCTTCAGAGCACCGATAAACCTTGGAGTCGTTCAGCCACCACCGGACGCCTGTCTTACTCGCGACGGGCTCTGCCACGTCATGACAACACTACGATGTATCAATACACAGCTTCAATATTTATTCGCAGGATTAGCTATCATTATATTTCATAACCCGATTAGCAATTCTAAACATTCTCAAGGACTTTAACTCTCCCTCGGTAGTAAACCAGATAAGGAATGCTAAGATATGTTCGTTAATCATAAAACTGGACGTAAAACCGGTTTCTATAAAGAAACAGCAAACTGCCCCCCTCACATTTTTCCCACGGACCCAACGCGAGGGAGACAGGGTGCGTGGAGACGCGCCATTGGCGTAATTACGCACCCGGTCCCCGGCCCGTCTAGGCTTAAGTCGTTCCCCTCGCGTCGACTTTCAGTGAAGTTCGGTAAACGCGGAAACGAGTGACAGCGGGTAAAACTTACAGCAAATTCTGGTAACCGAGAGTGGCTACCGGCAAAACTTCCAGCAAAAACTGGTAAACTACGCTGGTTTTAGATAAAAACGAGGGAAACTAGACCAGTTTTCCCCGGATGTCACTGAAAGTTTTTGCCGGATTTTTCAACAGGGAGGGGACACGAACTGGCACGCGTTCGTCGACGACATCAAGTTTGAAGCTCACAAAACTCCATTTCGACGGGGTACGGCCCGCGGCAGCGGCCCTTTTGCCCTGGCCAATGGCTGAAATTCGTCCTTTGTACAGCTCAGTGGCCCTCGGAAAACTGACGACATTCACGTTAACTCGTGAGATTCATGCCGGTGAAACGAAACCCTCGCAGAAGGATGACCAGTTCGATTTCTGCAGCCACTCATACTACAAAGGCCCATCCCGGTCTCGGCTACGCGCAGCACCACACAAACTTTTGTCTTCTCAAGCTGCTCAGCCGCTAAGGTCGTCTGCTCGTCGTGGTTCGTGGTGGGTCGATCGCCTTTCCTTCTCTGTCTTAAAACCCACCGGACGGAAGCGAGCGCTACGCTA